GCAGGATATTAAAAACCTGGATGTTTTGAAGGCGGAAACCTAAAGTTTCATACATACATACAAACATATAATAATAATAATAATAATAATAATAATAATAATAATAATAATAATAATAATAATAATAATAATAAAGTTGGAAGGGACCTTGGAGATCATCTAGTCCAACCCCCTGCTCAAGCAGGAAACCCTATACTTCCAGTGTTGGCGCATTCACCAGGTTGTTCCACTGGTTAATTGTTCTAACTGTACATACACACACACACACACACACACACACACACACACACAACAGAGAGGATGGCCGTAGAGGGAGGAGAATCTCCCAAGAGTGTTATTTTGAAGCTGTTTCTTTGCAGAGAAAAATGTAAGCTACTGAACTCTCCTACCACTGGCAGAACTTACTAAAAAGGCTCCCATGGGGGTTAGAATTCTACCATGTGCTCTAATCTGCCCCTTATTCTCATTTTCTATACATTTTGTACAGGTTGCAGGCGTCCTTCACTGTCCGAGCAGATGCTAATCCTAAATCACGAAAACAGAGACTCCGACGGTTCCAGATGAATCCCGAGCCCTTCTGGGGGCCTAAAGCGAGAGCAAAAGCAGGGTAAAGGGACTGAAAGGGAATCATGGGGCGCTGGGAGGAAATCGGAACATCCAGATATAAAACTCCTCTGGGATTACAATCTACGATATTTGAAGGAAAAAACCCAGTCGTTTCTTTGTAAAACTGATGCTAGATGTATTGTTTGGTCTGTGAATTATAGTCTTGTTAGTAGAACTTTTGTCTTGGAAGATTGTGTGGCAAAAGGAAAGGCATCTTCCTCTAGTATCTTCCTCTGCATCTTGATTCCCTTCTCAGAAAATAAAAAAGCTTAGGCACATATCATAGTTACAGCCCAGGCCCTTGGCTGATGTTGCCATTACTTCTCTTTGCTGGGTGCAACCTAATCGTAGAAGGAATGTAGGGCGGTCCTCTTGGGTGCAGAAGCGGGTGGGTGTCTTGCCACTCACAGCTCAATGTTTTTACAGGGTTTGCTGCACTTTTCCGTTACAAGCCTTTTTGGTGTCCCTTTAAAACAAAAGGGCAGCTGTCTTGGTTCATGCCTAATTATTTCTCTGGGTTAGGGGCGGGATTTCCTCTTGTCTGCAGGAAAAGAGAAAATTACATCAAAACAAGAGGAAAGTGTGCGCAGAAGGGGATGATGGCTCTCAGCTAAAAAACTTTCCATGCAAAAGGTTCCGGCAGGTAAGTGGCCACGGTTACTCTGCATGATAAGAAGCTAATTAAAGGCTCATGAAAGGAAATGGGCAGCATATTTTTGGATTCAGTTTTATTGTGATAGCACAGGTCCAGGAAGAAATGTGATTGGCATGTGACAGAAAAGGATCGTGGCACCTTGCTTCATTTGGCCTCCATAACATTTGGGCATGGGATTGGATCAGTGGGTTGATATAGTTGGGTTATAGCACAGATGGAAACATCTGGATCTAAAGGAAATGGGGAAAGGAAATTACCTTTTACAAGAGCAGCTTTTCAGGTGACTGCACTAATCTAGAACCAGTGCAGGGTCTAAGCTTCCTGGGAAAGGGAAAAAAATAGATTGAGGGCTTTCTTCTCCATACAGGGCAGTGTTTCTCAACCTTGACAATTTTAAGGCATGTGGACTTCAACTGCCAGAATTCCACAGCCAGCATTGCTGGCTGTGGAATTCTGGGAGTTGAAGTCCACATGCCTTAAAATTGTCAAGGTTGAGAAACACTGATACAGGGGATCTGGAAACTGCAGGGGCATGCAGTTTGCCTCCTAGAAACAGAAAACATTCACAAAGCTTTGGGGTTTTTTTTAGCCACAGATAAGTAAAGATACCAATGAGCAAGAAGTATCTGCTCTAGCTTAAGGGTGGTAGCCAGAACCAATAATCTTTCATACCTAGCCAGTCCATTTTAACCAATGTTATAATTGACAGACAACTCCAATTAAGTACCAGGATATCCTCTGAAAATAGATTCGGCTGCTCCTGAGTTTAAAATGGTCTACTAAGCTAAAGTGCTGCTTGCTTGATACTTTACCAAACTGCTCAGTTTTGGCAGACCTAAGGCAGCAGCAAAAATTTGAGTCTTTGTGGATGCACATTAAGACTATACAGACCATAGACACACAAAGAAAAATCTCACTGCTATTTTTGACTACTAAAGATAATGCGTGAAGACAGCATGGTCCATTCCCCAGAGTTGCTGAGTGCGTTATCCAGGCAGTTTTTTTTGTTAAAAAGCAATCAGCTAGTTATATAAATAATATTGGTTGGACTAGGTGCAATAATGTAAATGTCTTAAGTTGTTCCCAATGAATGCCATTTTCCTTCCCAGGGTGACTGTACATTGGGAGACAAATGCTGCTACTCTCACGAGACCCAGAGTGAAACACCATGACAGCAGTGTGACAAAAGAGTCCTGCATGCCTGGTGTGATTTTTATTTTTGCATTTACAGGCGATCTTTATATTTTAATGACTGTCAAAATGCGCACGCCAATTAAATACTATTATCTTTTGATGATGTTTGGGTTTGTGATTGTTTAATAGTGATGGGGGTTAACCCTGGTTAACACTATCTAAGAACCATTTCAGCTGGCTGTCTTTCCACTTTTTAAAATCTGTCTGCACCAGCCTGCATGCAGAAAACCCCAGGGCTGAGACATTTTTATGTGACATATTTATTGCTATTGGCAAGCAAGATGAGTAACTCTGGGTAAAACAGAGAGCAATGATATGACTTGGTGTAAAGCAGCTTCCTAGGATTGGCAGAAATATTATGTTTCAGGCTATATGGTTTTCTTTCATCATATACATATAGTTCTGGTCAAAATCTCAGGGTAAGAGTCCCACAATTATTCTCCCCCCTCCCCCGTTGCTTATCTAAGCCCATTCATTGCTCTTTTCAAGTTGACGGTATGTCTCCCAATAAAGCTAGAATGAAGTAGCAAGTTAAGTGTCCTTAGTGGTTGCTGACCTTGGTTATTTTATTGAAGACTCTTCATTACCTAAACCAGATAACATCATCAGGCTAGAACTGTTGATGTTTCCTAGTTTGGGTAATAAACATCTGCAAGAAAACGACCAAATTCAGAGAGCACCAAGACCCCTCATTTCAACTCTGACCTACAAACATTCTTGATAAGTAACAAGTTACATAGATAAAAGGACTTTATCCACACATGCATTCTTTTCTGAGAACTGGTGCAAGTACTTTAATCTAAGTCACACCTTAATAGTGAGATGTTACTGATGTGAACCAAAGTTGAATAAGACATTATAAAACAAATCTAAGTGATTTATCAAGTAGAGCAGACATGTCAAACACAAGGCCCACGGCTCATTCGCCCCACCCTGCATTGCCCCACCCCTCCCAGCCTCCCTTTCCCTGGCCCTCGCCTTGCCAGGCCTCACTTCCCATCACCTTGCTGGGCCTAACTGCCCATCGCATGGCCCTCACCTTGCCGGGCCCTACCTCCCCTGGCGCAGCCCCCACCTTGGCGGACCTCACCTCCCATCGCACGGCCCTCGCCTTGTCGGGCCTCACCTCCCCTGGCCCAGCTCCCGTCTTGCCTGGCCTCACCTGTCCCACCTGGCCCTCACCTTGCTGCGCCTTGCCCAGCCCCCAACGTGCCCAGACTCACCTGGCATCCAGTGGTCCTTGCCTTGCCAGAGCTTCCCTCCCCTCCCCTCGCCCGTCCACCTTGCCAGGCCTCACAAGGTCACACCCAGCCCTTGCCTTGCCAGGCCTCACTTCCCCTCGCCTGGCCCTCCCCTCCCCTAGCCCTCCCCTTACCAAGCCTCACCTCCTCTTGCCCGGCCCTCCCCTTCCTTGTCACAGCCCCCACCTTGCCTGGCCTCACCTGGTCCCACCTGGTCCTCGCCTTGCCAGACATCCCCTCCAAACACCCAGCCCTCACCTTGCTGGGGCTCCCCTCCCCTCACCCAGCTTTGCCTTCCAGGGCTTCCCTCCCCCTCCACTTTGCTGGGCTGCACCTACCCACACCTGGCCCTTGCCTTGCCGGGCCTCATCTCCCCTCAACAACCCCCCCTTGCCGGGCCTCACCTGGTGTCAACTGGCCCTTGCCTTGCCACATCTCTCCTCCCCTCTCCCAGCCCTCGCCTTGCCCAGTCTCACATAGTATCCCCTGGTCCTTGCCTTGCTGTGCCGTGCCTCCCCTTCCCTTTCCTCGCCCAGCCTCCCTCCCCGCACCTGGTCCTCCCCTCCCCTTCTCTTGCCCAGCACTTGCCTTGCCTGGTCTCACCTAGTATCCCCCAGTCCTCGCCAGATCTCCCCTCCCCTCGCCCAACCATCTTGCTGGGCCTCACATGGTCTTACCCAGCCCTTGCCTTGCCAGGCCTCACCTACCCTGGCCCAGCCCCCGCCTTGCCAGGTCTCACCTGCTCTCGCCCGGCCCTCGCCATACCGGCCCTCACCTGCTCTCTCCCAGCCCTCCTCTTGCTGTGCCTCCCTTCCCCCTGCCCAGCCCTCACCTTGCTGGGGCTCCCCTCCCCTCATCCCCAGGGCTCGGCTCCCCTTGCCCAGCCCTCCCCTTGCTGTGCATCATCTCCCTTTGCCCAGCCCTCGCCTTGCTGGGCCTCATTTCTCCTCGCCTGTCCCACTCCTTGCCTCCCCTGGTGTCGCCTGGCCCTTACCTTGCCGGGACTGGAAACTGATCTATGCAGGATCCTAAGTTTGTTGGTTTATTTATTATCCCACCTGTATTATTTTTAGAAATAACTCAAGGCAACAAACATACCTAATAGTCCTTCTTCCTCCTATTTTCTCCACAAAAACCCTGTGAGGAAGGCCAGGTGGAGAGAGTGACTGGCCCAAAGTCACCCAGCTCTCTTTCATGCCCAAGATGAAACTAGGATTCACAGTCTCCTGGCTTCTAGCCTGGTGCCTTAATTACTTTCCAACTTTTTAACACAAAGAAATAATGAAGCAATAGGCAAAATAGTTATGTGTATTTAAGAGATTTATTAAAAAGATGCTCATACTTAAGACAGTCCAAATATTCTAGCGCTTTCAAAAACCCTCTGAAAGGACGGTCAATTTTTTTTTCATTATGGATGTGCTTTGAGGACGTGGCGGCTGGACCAGAATGGCCTTTTAACAGTGATCCCTTTTTCATTTGCAAAAAATAAAAATAAAAAATTTCTGAAGATAGTCCTACTACCCATATCATCTGACATTAAGCAGCTTAAGGGCACCTTCGGGTTGCAAAACAAGACAATGCCTGATTCAGAGAGGAACCACTTCCTCCCTCTTGTGCGGGTTCCTGGGGGAAGGCTCCGGGGTCCTGCTGTTCCTTGAGACAATACTGCACTCTGCTCGGACCAAATGGCAGCAGGTTGAATTCTTCCTCGCCTTTCTCCCTTAGGCCTGCTTTAGTACCTAATCTGTAGCAGGAAGGTTCGGATCTGCATGGGAAATAATTCAATGTGTGCCGGGTCCAGGCCAGTGCCTGATCGCCGTTCTGCTGCTATCCCTGTGGAGAGAAGGAGGTTGAGAAGCAGTGACAAGAGTACCAAAGTGGGCATTTGGAAGGAAGAAGAAAGGCAACAGTTATTGCGAGACAATGGGATTTACAGTGTTATTCCCGCCCAAAAAGTTCATTCCAAGATCTGTAACTGTCGGAATTAGCTTAGAGTTAATGGCCAACTCTTGCCCAGTCATACAAAATGCAGGCTTTGGGGGGTGGATAGAGAGGCCACTTGGGCTCTGGAAAAGCTGCCAGACGTAAAGTTTGAAGAAAGAGGTTAGCCCAGTGATGGCGAACCTTTTAAAGACCGAGTGCCCAAACTGCAACCCAAAACCCACTTATGCATCGTCGGGTGCCGGGTGGGTGTGGCCCATTGGGTGGGCATGGCTGCGGTGGTAACAGCAGGCTGGATGGGACTAAAAAGTTCAATCAATCAATTCCAACTTTGCAAGATCTTTTTTTCCCCGCGAAAAGTTGAAATTGACTGATTGATTGAACCTTTTTTTTTTTTGAACATGGCGGCAGAGGCCTAAAGCGAAAAGGTTTTATAAAACCCAGCTGAAGGCCTAGGACTGGGGCGATGGCGCACGTGCCCACAGAGAGGACTCTGAGTGCCGCCTCTGGCACCCGTGCCATAGGTTCGCCACCACTGGGTTAGCCTATGTGAGACTAATTGCCAGGTTATAGAAAGATATTTTAGAGCAGTCCCTTGGAGTAGCTTTCAGTGCAACTCAAGTACACTAAATACATTAGGAAAAAAAAAGGGCTGAAAGTGCCAGTTTCCCTTGAAGCAACAGAGACCACTGCTGTACAGAGAGATCTGCAATTCCACTTCAACCCTCACCTTCAGTTGACTGCCAGATGAGCCTGCTCACGTCCTCCCGTTTCTGGTTTGCTGACAAGTTCATTTCTTGCACAGTGATGATGTTGAAGGAAGAGAACAAATTCTGACCAAGTGGAAAAAACAAACCAGATTGGGATGTTGGCTCCAGTTGATTCTCAATGCTAGACTCATTCTGACCCACCCGATTAAATCCTGTTTTTCAGTTCTGGTCTTCGACTAGCATCAATTCAAATTTTCTCTCCTGTAAATATCCTGTGTGCCCCGTAAATCTAGTAAAAATGTGAAACACTAGCCAGGAAATCCCCCTTTCAGTTCTCAACTGGGTGATGAAATCCACAAGCAATTCTATTATCTGCAGGATGGAGATACTAATGCTTCCCTACCTGATAGGTTTGGTGAAATTCAGGTAAAATACTAAGCACAGGGTACTGAATGTTTAAGAAATTACCCACTTTGGTGGTAGTTTAGCCTAGCTAAGTTACAGAGAACAGTTCATGCCTTTACTGATTTGATTGTCTCTAGTAAGAAACCTACCAGCATGTTAATGACAACAGGCGAGGAGCCATTGACTGCCTCCCCATATTCAAACTGGTGCTCTAGACGGATGAGAACAGCATCAGGCTCCCACTGGGCCAATGTCAGCAGGTGAACATTCAGAGGAAGGGCATGCCGGAGAGCAGAGAACTGAGGATTGGGAGAGAAAATATTGGACAAACATAGTGTCCGATTACTATCCCTGAAAAGCCATAATGTTGGATAATGTCACTGACTTATAATCATGCCACAAAGAAGAGGGAGTCAAGCTATTCTCCAAAGCACCTGAAGGCAGGACAAGAAGCAACGGATGGAAACTGATCAAGGAGAGAAGCAACCTAGAACTAAGGAGAAACTTCCTGACACTTAGAACAATTAATCAGTGGAATAACTTGCCTCCATAAATTGTGAATGCTCCAACACTGGAAGTTTTTAAGAAGAGACCGGACAGCCATTTGTCCAAAATGGTATAAGTCTCTTCCAACTTTATTATTATTCAATAAAACAAAAGGAATGTCATTGGATACTAAATAATAAGCAAATTATGATAAGCAGAAGAAAGTAATCGGCTTAAAAAGTTAAAAACTAACAGCTTTGCAGAGATTTGGAAGCATGCAGGCAGCACCTGTCCAAACTTCTTTCAAACAGCCATGTATTTTCCTTAGATTATGCAACTATACTCTGCAGCTGCCACCTAGGCCCTGGAAAAGATGCCGCTTTTAAACCGTTGCAGCTAAGCTCAGATGTATTTCTTGGAATGCTTTGCACTCTAATACCTTAAAAATGAAAACAATCTTAGGAATACCATCCATCATTTGTTGAAAGAGTATTTTGACTACTAATAAATAAGGCTACTGATATCTGAATACTGCTTGTCTTTTTTCTTTTGTCTTTCCCTCACCTCTTTGACAATGTCGTGACTATCTGGGGTCAGCACCACCTGTGGTGCCATGTACTCTTGCTGGGCCCACAGACGGTGCTGCTCAGCTGATGATTCCACCGTATCTAAGAATATAAGGTGACGACCTCGGACGACTAGTCCATTGTGATATTCGCCAGGTTCCAGTAATGGCTCCTGTACACCCCGGCTGTCATCATGTAGCAGCCTTCGATGTACCTGAAAGCGACACATACACACGAAAGTCGAAAGCAGAACAATGGAATTCAGTTTGCTAATGCTTTAAAATGCCAGGTGCTGTGGGATGGATACAGAATGTCTTTTAAAGATGCTGAAGAACAAGTAATTGCTAAAAACATAGTGACTAATTTACACCAACTCATCTAACCACTAGTCTTGCTACAGCAGTGGTTCTCAACCTGTGGGTCGGGACCCCATTTGGGGTCGATCGACCATTTCACGGGGGTCGCCAAGCAAGGCTGTCCGCCATTTTTTTTGTCCGCCATTTTTTTCCCCTTTTCTGGCGGGTGCCTTACCTCCCTTGGGCTGGGCCAGCTGGTGGTCGGCCTGCTCCGTCTCTGCCGCTTGCCAGCTATGCCTCGGCCGGCGCAGGGGGCCGAACCACGCATGTGCAGCGCTCCCGGGCAGGGAAAGTCCTCGACTTACGACCGGTTGGGTAGTCCTCGACTTACGACTGGTTTAGTCCTCGACTTACGACCGGTTTAGTCCTCGACTTACGACCGGTTGGGGTCGCGACATTAAAAAGGTTGAGAACCACTGTGCTACAGTTTCACATACGAGTTCTTCTCGTTGTAGGATTCTGACCACTTTGGCTGCTGATCTCCCTTACCTCAATGTCCTAGTCTTATGTTCTTCCATCTATTGAAGCTGTGACTCTTCTCTTTCGGGGGCTAACATTTTAGATGAGGTGCTCAGTTTCCCCAAATATAAAGGAGAAAAGTTAGTTCCCACCACTGTGTGACAGGAAGCAATTACAGAAAGTACTTGTCCTCTTTGTTGCTCTACCAACCTGCTATACTTACCATAAGTTCAAGAGAACCATCCGTGAGGCTACTGCCACCCTGTGAGCGATCTGTCAGCACTGTTAGCTGGGTCTTCCGGTCCTGAAACGGAAAAAAGAAAAAGTAAAAAGGTTGCACAGTCCTGGCTGCATGCATGAACAAACCTCACTCTGCAGAGATGCTGCAGTATTACAGGTGATCCCACCACTGTAGGATTCAACCTTCATTAGATAAAAACCTACCCATATTATTTCATAATTACGCTTGTGTGGGCAGGCAATCCTATAGGAGACCAAGAACAACCAAGCCTGCCAGGAACCACGGGATGTTATTACCTTGATGTAGATACGACTATTCACAGGGTAGTAGTTGCCTGCCACTGGCTCAGTCTGGCTCAGATTCCATGTGAACCTGTAATCACGTCTTCTCGGAGAAAGAAAGAAAGAGCAAATTAACTTCCTGATTTCCTTCATCCAGCTGAACCTGGCAAAATCAAGGTGCACCCCCCCCAGCTCTTTTAAATGGAAGTGAGAGACAGTGAGAAGGGTTACAGCAAAATGAACAGAAAGGGCACTTGTACAGCTATGACTGGTATTTTAGCTCCCACAAATTAACTTTGCAATTTTACTCTGGCTTGGATAAACTCAGCCATTGTATGAGCCTTGCACGGATTTCAATCCCAATAGGATCGTTGCTGAAAATTGGGAGAGTTGAAGTCCAGAGACCTGAAGGGTGTCCAGAATGGAAAGGCTGATGGTAGCAGTAGTTTCAACACGACTGGATGCCATCATTTTGGGGAAGGTTGCTATAGAGCAGTGATGGCGAACCTTTTAGAGACCGAGTGCCCAAACCGCAACTCAAAACCCACTTATTTATCGCCAGGTGCCAGGTGGGCATGGCTGTGATGATCATGGCAGATTGGGTGGGTGTGGCCAAGGTGGGCGTGATCACCTCGATGTTACTCATGGGGAGGGATGCATGTGAGGGCCAGGCAGGTTGGGGGAGATCCAGGGGGTCTCTGGCAGGTGGGGCGGTGGGCAGGAGGCTCGTCCTGTGGGGTGAGGCGAGGCAGGGTGGAAGTGCCATTGTCGCAGGGCAAGGCGAGGCAGAGGCCGGGGCGGCTGCTGCCTGATACCATCAGCTCCCGCACACAGAGGCCAGCGAGCGCATGGGTGCTGGGATGCATCCGGCCATGTGGGACTTCGGCGAGTTAGTGGGTGGCTGGTTGAAGGACAGTTGCCATCTCGGGGGCATGGCGCGCGTGCCCACAGAGAGGGCTCTGAGTGCCGCCTCTGGCACCCATGCCATAGGTTCGCCACCACTGCTATAGAGTAAGCCGGTGGCTCTTTATACACTTTCATTTGCTCATACAGGATTGAACAGAAATAGTGAAATTTAATATGTTGCTTAGGGTTACCGAATATGTTGTGACCAAGCATTTTAAAACTAGAAATGTCTAGCTAACAGTTTGCACTATAAGCCACTGTATAGTTCTGGCTGCAGGTCAAGGGGTATGCGAGTCTTCCTGCTCCTAACCCCATACCTTCTCTCCAGGATCTCGCGTCCATTCGAGTCTGTGTAAAAAAGGCCTTCAGTCTGCAGATTTGTCTCAAACCGGCTGATTATCTCCTTGCCTTGCTGATCCCTATGGCAAAAGCATAGAAGCCAGAATCTTGTGCTAAAGGTCAGTGAAGCCCCCTTCCCCCAACATTTTTCTGATGCTTACCCTATAGGAATGGGTCCCACTGTCCATTCCAGTTCAACATATGGCTGCCCAGCATAGAGGCGCACCACTTGGGAACACCAATCAGAGAAGTTCTGGTACAGCTCTTGCACCACTTGATTCTGCCAGAGAGAGAGAGAAAAGATGGCTGCTAGGATCCTTACTTGGCTTCAAAAGCACAGCCTCCCTTTCGGCAGTAGAAGGGCACAAATGAGTTTTGAGAGCTGCTCCACACACAATGAAATACCAGAGATTCATTATGGTTCCTTTAAATTCAAATGCTTCAAATCATACAACGGATGCCACCTTCTGGCAATGAGAGGAGCCTTAAGAAAATATTTCAGTAAGAAATCAGATTACTCCCGTTAGACACCTCAGCTCCTGAAAAATGAAAATTCCCCTTTTCCCACGAACCGTTACAGAACAAAAGCTGTTTTTATGTTAAGCGTTGGTGAACTCAATCCCGCCAGCAGAGGTGGCATCTGCTGGAAATGGTAAAGCATCAGAGGCCAAAGGCTCCATCTGTGAGGGAGATGAGCAGTTCTTAATTATGAAAAATAAAAAAAAATAAAAGCAATTCCCACAAGACTCCACTCATGAAATGGGACCAGGCACAGCAAAAACTTAAGATTTCTTTTTTTAAAAACCCAAAATGGGGTTGGCAACTTTTTGCCTGCCCAAAAAAGTACATTCTCACGAGAGAAAACACACTCTGTGCCAAGAGGGGCAAATGAGAGAGAAGGTCGGCCCTTTTCTTTCTAGCATCCTCTTCTCGTTCTCCATACATCTTGAGGTAGGACAGCACTGAGCGCTGATCAGATTAGATTGCAAAGGGCATAAAATTCAACAGAGGGTTCCCTAATGTAAGAAAGCATACATTTGTGCTCAAATCCCTGCAAATTATAGTATTGCCCTGCTCATAAAATGTTTCTGCCATCCCCTCAGTCCACGACAAATATTACTTTAGATTCCCAAACAAGGTAAGACAGCTTTTGCGGGAGCAAATATACAGCAATCTTTGCAAAGCTCTAGCAAGAAGAAGCCAAGCTTGTTTTTGTTACAGAATATGATGCCTACCGGTTTATGTTGTGTTATTTGGCTTATTAGGAACATAGGTTAGCTTAGAAAGGAGGCAAAGTCAAACCACTTCTGAAAAACCTTGCCAAGAAAACGGCAGGGACTTATCCAGGCAGTTTCCAAGAATGAGGCATGACTGAATGGAAGAAGAAAAAAGTACTTAGCAAATTGATATAGCTGCCCATCTCACAGAATCTGACCTATGGAATATGGTTGGAAAATACAAATAATCCATGGAGGCTCTATGATGTGAGTTATAAGCGTTTATGACTGCCATTCTCCTCTCTTCAGAGCTGGGGAGTCTAATTTATCTGGACAAGTTATTCTAGTAATTTGGTTCTTCCCACTAAGCAAGTTACTACTGTGTTTCCCTGAAAATAAGACCCACTCCGAAAATAAGCCCTAGCTGGGGTTTTTTTTGGGGGGGGGGAATATATAAGCCCTATCCCAATGATGGCGAACCTTTTAGAGACCGAGTGCCCAAACTGCAACCCAAAACCCACTTATGTATCGTCGGGGGCCGAGTAGGCGTGGGCCATTGGGTGGGTGTGGCCAATTGGGTAGGCATGGCTCATTGGGTGGGCATAGCTGCGGTGGTAACGGCAGACTGGGTGGGACTAAAAAGTTTAATCAATCAATTCCAACATTGCAAGATCTTTTTTTTCCCTGCAAGAAGTTGAATTTGATTGAACCATTTTTTTTTGCACACGACGGCGGAGGCCTAAAACGAAAAGGTTTTATAAAGCCCAGTTGAAGGCCTAGGACTGGGGCGACGGTGCACGTGCTCACAGAGAGGGCTCTGGGTGCCACCTGTGGCATGCGTGCCATAGGTTCGCCACCATGGCCCTATCCTAAAAATAAGCCCGGGGGGTGGGCATGGCCAGCACAACCGGTGGTGAGCATATGGGGGCTGACGGTGTCCGGCAGCAGCCACAGCCCACTGGCCCCTTGGCGCAGCACAGGCAAGTCCGAGTGCTGAGGCAGAGAGGAGGAAGGCGATCCGGACATGCCACATACTTTTCGCCCAGAGGGAGATCAAGTGTTGTGTGCTTGCGAATGGGGCGCTTAGAAACCGAGCGATCCACACTGTCTCCAAGCGCCCCATTTGCAAGCAGACATAACTCCCAGTCTACGTCATTTCTCCGTCTGGGTGAAAAGAGTTTGGATGCCTATGGGGTGCTTGGGTCAGTTCCACCCCCTCCCCCACCTGCCTCGCCTTGTAGCGGTGGCACGGCATGGCAGGCCATGTGGCCTCCTGCCGCAAGTGGCCGCAGAAGTGGACCAGCAGCCATGTAAGTTCCTACTGGACGGGGGTGTTGGTACTGCCACCGCAAGGCAAGGCAGGTGTCAGGAAAAAAAAAATAAGACATCTCCCGAAAATAAGACCTACTGCCTTTTTTGGAGGCAGAAAAAAAAAATATATAAGACTGGGTTTTGTTTTCGGGGAAACACAGTAGCTAACTTGATTTCTTTTTAGGCTGTTCCATTTCAACTGGCTTTGAGTGGCAAGCACTGAAAAAAAAAAAGGAAAAAATCACAAAAATGCGATAGTGGTACAATCCATCAAGGGCAAGTCTGAATTTAAACACTCCCCAATCAATTAATCTTTATTATGGTCAGAGACCAGCAAAATACTCTCCAAATATTCTATCAGAGCCACATGTTTACAGTTCTGCAGAAACTCAGCAGAGAGGAGATAAAGCTGGTTCACTGAAGTTGATGATGGTAGCTCCTATGATAAATACCAACTACAGAATCAATGCAGGTCAAAACTCTTGGGGATGGGATCCTCAGCAGGACTTATCTCCTGGATCACTGGGCAAACAGATCAATTTGGAGCAGATGACTTTGAGCTTTTCCTACCTTTATCTGATATACATGAGCTCCTTGGGCAATGGGAAAGGCCTTGAAGGTGTCAGGACGGAAGATGTAGGCTCCGGACGCCTGTGAATGTTCTGCATTTCCATCACTGGCATTATACCTGGGGAAGCCAGCCAAGAGAGGGACATGACCATCAGGTCTACAATAGCAGAACAATAACTCATTAACTAATATCCCAGCAGAGGGTAAGGAATGCCAAGCCATCCTTAAAATCCATCTGCCATCAGCCACTGTGGGAAATAAAGCAGACATTCAGTTCTCCAAGCATAAGGTAATCTTCAATCTGACCTACCAAAGGAAGCTTTGAAGAAGCGGTAGGGAGATACTCTTGTCCAAATTTCGGATCTCCTTCATCAGTCCAGTGCTGGGGTCAAATAGAACTTGCAGATGCTGGAGCAGAAACACACAAAAATCCTGTGTCAGAGACACTATCAGGAGGAGCTCTTTGGATTTTTAGTCTGAATGGTAGCAAATGAAGACTATCCAGGGACGTTCATTTTCAAAAAAATTGTCTGCCACTTTCTTTCTTATCTGTAGAATAGGAACACTTTGAGCATCTCTTTTTATTTACTAATATCTGACAAGATGATTTTATTTTACTTTAGGAACTGTCTCAGCCTCACTTCCCAAGTGCAGGAAATGGGCAGGGAAAATACACCAACCAAATGACAAAGGAAAGATCGCCCTGTACCTCATTCTCAATCGATGGTGCAAGATGCGCTGCAGCAGGCTGAGGACGCATCCTTTTCAGCAGCCTGGGGTGTGTTGGATCTCTGAGAGACAACCGGGAAACAGAATAGGTTTTGTAGCCTAACGAAGGGAGAGATGCCTGAAATACCAGTTCATTGATGGCACTGCCTCGGTTATGCCGCACGGCACGGGTGAAACTTGATACAGGGATGATCTGGCAAGGAAAATGCAAGGTTGATTTTTTTAATAAGATAAATTGATAAGAAATTGATGACTAACACAGTCCAGGGCACACCCAGCAGAATAAACTCTCCCACTCATCCCAACCTTGTTCAGAGCAGAATAATTTTGCATACATTTCCTTTCACTCCCTGGAACAACAACGGGAGACTGGATCTCTCAAAGATATTACAGGACTTTCTCCAAGGCTTTCATTTTACATAAAGATAGATTAACACTTTAATCAGCACAGAACAGCAGGCAGGCAAGAATTGATCAATTACTACAGTTAGTTTTGTAGGTGCTTTGGACTCTGGGTTTTATAGCACTCTTTGGGCGGTCACAACATCAGCATATTGCCCCCAATAATCTGGGTCCTCATTTTAGCAACCTTGGAAGGATGAAAGGCTGAGTCAGCCTTGAGCTGGTCAGAATCAAACTCCTGCCAGTGGGCAGAGTTTGCTTACAATACTGAATTCTCACCACTACACCACCAGGGCTTGATAAACAGTTTAACAAATCAGGGTTAGTTGTGTAAACGTTTTAACAAGATAAATGACTAATATATAAAGACACTGTGATGACAAACAAGCCACTGATTCATAAATACTTTCTTGTGGAGCCTTAAGAGTCCCACTAATTGGATTCTTTTGCTAGTGGCTTCCATGCAACACCTGGGAGTTGGGAGGCGGCCCACCGGTGTTTCACAGTAATGCCTAAAGATCTCCAAACAAACACCTCCTACCTCATTCAAAATATTCTGACCGTCAGGAGCTACAACCGAATAATGGCTTCCGTTCACAGGCAGTCGGACATTCCAATCCACAGGACGGGCCAGAGGATTATAGACGATCACTCTGAACTGCAAAGGTAGTGAAGAAATATGTTGATCAAAGGAAGAAAGACCTAACAGGAGATGCTAAGGAGCCTGGTTATTTATTAACAGAGCTTATATACCATCCCAGTCTAATGACTCCAAGCTCAGTGAGAAACGACCTTCTCCACAGCCCAAGCAGTGTCCTTAAGGCTGAGGAGTGATTTGGGAAGCTCCAGATTTCAAGTCTCGAACAAGACGAAAGGTGAGAAATTGTATGGTCCCTTACAGTGGGGTCAGCTTCAGTGAGTAGGCAGGCGCTGATGTTGAGGTAGGTGCAATAGACGAAGTTTTCCGTGCTGCCAAGAAGATTGGCAAAGGCATTACTCATCACAATCTGGAAAGTCAGGAAAAAAAACAATAGTAAATTCTCTACTCCTGCCAGAAAGTTATGAATGGACAGAAGCACAGCTGGGGAAGAATCAGTGACGATCTTATGCTAAGTCTTGGATTCAAAGCCACAAACGTGGACAAGAGGAAAAGTAACAGTTACTTGCATTTCCCTCTATGTCATGGGCAAAGTTAGGCTACAAAAACCAAGTAAATGTTCCACTGCAAAAAAAATAGCTGTGATATCTCAGAAATATGCTTCCTTTGGAGTCAATGCATATAGGAAGGTCCCACGGCAAGATTGCAGGATGCTTTTCTTCGTAACATGGAAGAAAAGAGGAAGGCTCCTTTAAGCAACATACAGAGGCTACCACAATAAAGGAAATGTGGTACGGCCACAATTGCATGCCCCAAAGCAGGTCACGGAATCTCAGCCCTTGCCGTTACAACCTGTGAAAATCAAGCAACATTTTTGCAGCTAGAGAAAAGTGCTTTTTACTTTTTTTAGTGTTACGTTGTCCAAGAGCTGCAGTGATGCTCGTGCCCATACATATGTGGTGGGAGAGAAATAGCAGAAAAAATGTTGCTGGTTCATGCACAAACCTGGCAGGCATCCCAACCAATAGACAACTGTTTGGCATAGTCATTGGTCACATGCTGCTTTGCTGTGCCACTCACTGCATCATGATGCTGAGCAACTGCCATAGCCTGGCCTATAAGAAAAAGACCACAGGTATCACACAGTAAAATTACTGGGTCTCTAGAGATGTGGGTGCTGAGGGAATGGCCACTGTTTTTATTCTTGGCTTTTTGTATCCTTAACAGGGGTGCCATTGGCCAGAGCACTGTTCCTAATTGGTCTGATGGTCATCATGGCAACTGCCACCACAGTCACTCTCTTAATAAAAACTCAAGGTGAAAGCCCTGGTCAACTCTCAGGAGTACACATACATACGCAGCACAGAACTGTTAGCATTGCCGTAAGGCCCGAAGTTTGCTTTTGTGCCAACTATCACTTCCAGCTGGTTGCAGATCTGCAAAAAAAGAAACACCCAATCAGAGAGCCACAAAGCACCAGGATACATTCTATTTAGAAATCATGAAGGCTACTAACTTGCAGGAAATTGTTACTGAGGCGTTCATAGCGTTTCAAAGCTGGTCGGCTGGTGTAATAGCCTGTCCAGAACTGATGGGGACCATCGGCATATGGGAAGAAGTCATCGTATTTCAAAGACCTGTTCAAAATAAGATCAGTTAGCCAAAATCTACTTTTGGATGTGGAATGCCAACCTTGTCCTAGTTTCAGAATAATCTGAGCTGATCAGTAGTAGAAACGAGCAGCATCAGCTGAGTGAAATCCATCTTCAATTATTATTTTTTTATCGTGATACTTAAGAGGGGAAAAAAACATTGAGAGATCGAATGTGCTTCTTAGTATTCTTTCCCCCTTTTAGGATATGGAAATTAAAAATTATTAGGATGGCAGTGGACGGGTAAATAAAATTATATGGATATGGAAATTGATTTTACTCTTTTTCAAACGTACTCTGTGGAACTAGAGGATAGAGTGGTTGGCATGGGGTGAATTACCAGGCCAAAGATATGCAGATTAACCCAGATCTAGTAGGCAACTTTTCCCTTCCAAATATTTTAGATTTCAATTACTGTTCCCATAACCCAAAAGCATTGTCATTATGCTGCCCATCCTTAGATCTAACTTCTAGATCAGTGGTTCTCAACCTGTGGGTCGGGACCCCATTTGGGGTCGATCGACCATTTCACAGGGGTCGCCAAGCAAGGCTGTCCGCCATTTTTTTTGTCCGCCACTTTTTTCCCTTTTCTGGCGGGTGCCTTACCTCCCTTGGGCTGGGCCAGCTGGTGGTCGGCCTGCTCCGTCTCGGCCGGCGCAGGGAGTGGAACCACGCATGCGCGGCGCTCCCGGGCAGGGAAAGTCCTTGACTTACAACCGGTTGGGTAGTCCTCGACTTACGACCGGTTTAGTCCTTGACTTACGACCGGTTTAGTCCTCGACTTACGACCGGTTGGGGTCGCGGCATTAAAAAGGTTGAGAACCACTGTTCTAGATCTATGGGGAAGGTTCAATCTGCGAGAAAAGGACTTCTGCTTCTCAATTGTTTAATGACAGTTGCAGGAAAATGACTCTTTTTTTCAATTCCCCCCCACATGGAGAATGCCTGAAGAAGGGACAGAGTTTGCTTCAAAGGGACCACTAAGCTTTCCTGCTGTTTTGTCAGATGTGCTATGACTTCACAGTTCCAACATGGCCAAGGCAAAGCGAAAGCATAATAGATCAAGAGATGGAGAGATCAAGCATGACAGTTCACAAGAAGCAAAGAAACAAAGGAGTTTGAATGAAACTAAGCAGAAATGCCTCTCGGCTGCTAGGCCCATCAAATACTGGTATCTGCTCTTGCCGCTTAGCAATCCCAGGCTCTTTTGCTAACGTATCTTAAAGGATGGATCCAAATTAAGCACCTGCTCAGAAAAGAGAGTGGCGAAGATAGCCCCACTGGAAAAAAAAACCCCTGTTGCAATGAGCAGCTCTGAATACCAGCCAGCTCACCAGCCAGCCTGCCTCAGACCTCTCACCATGTTATGTTGGCTTTATTCAGCTCCCAAAGATAGCAGCTTGGGGTTGAGTAGAGTACGTTGACACGGCTGCCCTTCAGTTGCTGGAAGATCATATTCCAAGGAAAGAAATATGTTCATTTGCATTTCCTCTTGGTAAATTTATCACCTCCCCCTACTAATCTGGGCATCTTTTGGTATGCCTGTCCGTGAGCTACATCAACCAGAGACAGAAACTGGTGTGGTTCCAACTTGTGCCTCAACATCCCTCAGAAGGCCTAACTTTGTTGTATTCCTTCCCATCTAATTAACTGAGGCCTCAAACTCTGAGGCCTCGTTTTGGGCAGAATATTTATTTTCAAAAAGACAGGCTGTTGGCCCACCGTAGGGTACCTGTGCATTAACATGATGGATCAACTTGTCCAAGTTCTTGTACCATAGCAATGCGTTCTCATACTGGAAATCAGATCCCATCGTCATGACAATGTGGTTTGTGCGATAGTGTTTGGCCTGAAGAGAACATTGAAAAGTAGTAAACAGGTCTATTTGTCACATAGCCACTCCCTTCCTATCCCCAGGAATATTGTTAATAACATATACAACAAGCAGAGCGATGGATAGCTTCCCTGATACTACCCCTTGTTTTCACCTGAAAGGCTGCAATTCCCAGAAAGTAGGTCACTATATTTTCCACATTGTTCTCATCACTGTCATCATCCACAATAGGATTGTCAGAGCAGATTTGATCCCAGCAGAGAGACATAGGGGGGTCATAACCATTTGGTAGGATACCTATCAAGAAACAGGAGAAATGAGAGGGACAAATTACATCCTAGGAATCAATTTACATGCCCCAGTGGTTAAACACACAATAACGAGGCAGCAAAGGAACAATATCCTACACCAACTTGATTTTCTTCAGATGTGTGAGATTGTACTTCTATAAGCCTAGGCCAGCATGACTTGTGTTCACTGGTTACAGCAGATGCAGCCCCATGCTTTGATGGTCCTGGACCATGTTCCCATCCTCCATCTACCAACAGTTGGAAAAGAAACCAGATCCTATGGCAAAATTTCAACACAGCACATCTGGAAAGCTCCAGATTGGTGAACTCTGTTATCATGTGCGGTCATGTGAAAAAGTAAGTACATCCCCACTGACATTTATTTTCTTCAACATATTTCAACATAAATATATCTGATCTTTACTTCAACATTACTGATAAATAAAGATGTAAAATAACAAATATCATGTGCTACAATGTTTACATTTTGTAGTCCATTTTGTAATTTAAATAAACATAATTCTGCATGTGGAAAAAGTAAGTACTCCTGGTACTTTTATCACTATTCCAAATACCTAAAATTAGAATCGGATGCATCAGAGACCAGGTGCAAATGATCATTGTTAGAGAGGATCTGGGATCTGATTTATTTAAACCTCAGATATTTAGTTTGATTTGCTTTTTGTTGTTGAAGTGCACGGTCCACCTAGATCATAGGTCGGGAACCTGCGGCTCCAGAGCCGCATGCGGCTCTTTGAGCCTTCCCCTGTGGCTCCCAGCCTCCTCTGCCATTTGCAGAGAGAGACAGAGACAGAGAGAGGCACTTGCACTTCCCTGCTTCTCTCTCTGTCTCGTGTGTGTGTGTGTGTGTGTGTGTGTGTGTGTGTGTGTGTGTGTGTGTGTGTGTGTGTGTGTAAAAGAGAGTGGACTCACGGTGTTCTCTGACAAGCTGAAAAGCTTTTTGGGTGGGGCTCCTCCCTTTGCTGCGTCTCTGCAGGAACCAGGAACGGCAGGAGAGAGCTAGCTAGCCCAGCTATGCTGACTCAGGAATTTTGGGAGTTGAGATGCATGAGTCATAAAAGAGACGAGGTTGCCTACCCTGAGCTTGTTGGAAAACAGCTTGAAGCCAGCTTGCCAGGTAAGCAGAAGATCGGAGAGAGGGGGGAAGAGAGAGAGCGAGGGAGAGGAAAGAGAGAGAGAAAGAAAGAGAGTGGGGGAAGGGGACTGGCAGACCAAGGCCAGAAAGAGAGAGAGGGAGGGAGAGAGAGACCCTTTTGACATCTAAAATGAAGATAACACTGCATATATCCTTTTTTACCTTTATGATATATATACCTTTATCATAAAGGTAAAAAAGGATATATGCAGTGTTATCTTCATTTTAGATATCAAAAGGGTTTTGCGGCTCCCCGTGTTTTGTTTTTGGTGGGAAACGGGTCCAAGTGGCTCTTTGAGTGCTTTGGGTTGCCTACCCCTGACCTAGATCTAGAGCAAAACAGCACTCAGAGGCCTTCTGAAAGAAAATTAGAGAGGCCTAGGAGGGATTTTAACAATTGAACATTAATTATTCCATTATCCAAAAGATCAACAAATGAAAATTACATACAACTGTCAACTTGCTCAGGTCATAGTTCTCCAGTTGGTTCAGTGCAAGAGCAGAATGCAAGATACTGAAAGAAGTTGCTAAGAACCCCAGAATTTTATCACATGACCAACAGATAGAGCAGGACTTCTGGAACAATGTACTCTGATCAAATAAGACAAAGATAAGGGATTTGGCCATATTATCAGAAGACATATTTGGCAAGAACCAAAGACAGCAATTCACCACGGGGGTATATATTTATGTCTTACTTTTTCACATGCCTGTATGCATTTCTTTCATAAAGATGATCTGCCCTTCAGAAAATGATGCAAGTCAGGCAATAATACACACAGGGCTCATACTAACTTATGCTCATCTTCCATTAGGACATCTATAAAATTGACACTGTCAATTCACATACTGTTCTATTACTTGGGCTACTGTAATCAACTAAGGTATATGCCCTGGTAGGCAACCAAGTCTTCAGGCAAAGTGTAAGACTAATTCCCAAATGCCCAGCAACTGTTGCCAAGGCAAGATTTAAGAGCAAAAATAGCTGCAGAGCACCAGGCTGTTGATGGTACTAGTCATTATCTGCCATTTATTAACTGAATAGGCAGTTAATTACACTGGCAAAGTTGCAACTTAAGTCTTCGACATTTCCAGATCTCTTCCAGGTCAGCCTTGCTCACCAGTGAAGAGATCAGCCGCAGGTGGATCCAGGTTTCTGCTTGCGCGCCACAATTGCTCCATTTCACGCAGTGACTCACGGTGGAATTTATCCTGGTAATCAATACGGCCCAAGAAGAAACCATCATAGCCCATCTGGGGAGAATGGCAAGTGAAGGAATGTTAAGTATCTTGAACTCGGAGAAGGGGGATATTAAATGAACTGGGGGATCCCAACAAATAGGATAACTGATCATTACAAAAGTTTTACATATTCACACATTTGGAATGAAAGGGGAGAGGATCGTAGTTAAAAATTCTGGCAAATGTAGAAGTTTGCAAGACCTGAGCAAACAGAGAAGCCTGCTCCCGACTGTGCCCAAAAGGATCAATGTGCCAGGCTACACGGGGCCGGCCGCATTCTCCAAACGTCTCTTTCAGGAAATGGAGCCCAAGGCTCATCTGATCAATGACAGCACTGTAATGTACGGACGCCTCGTCGTTCATGCACCAACCACCGTTCACAAACTCAAGGCGCCCTATTGAGGAGTGAGAAACACAGAAAGAAAAACAAAAAATATCAAAATAGGGAAGAACGTGAGCCTACAACTGCAAAGCAGCAGACACTTTCCCCAACTTGCCATTGTATCCATTAGATATTAGTTATAACCCCTGGGGGAAAATGCGCTGCTGTTCTCTTTAGTTCCCCTCCCGTCCACAACTAGGTACCTCCAGGTCCTTCTCATCATACATGGGCCCATGTCACATGTGACTCAGAAAAGCCAATCACTGGTGCTCAGTCTCTCTTGCTCACCTTCCGCAACCAGCTGCCGCACAGTCTGGCGCATGGCTTCCGTTTGCAGTCCCCACCAGCGAGCAAAGAACGCCACCTCCACATATATGAAACGCTTGCTGGGGTCAGCCAGAAGCTGAGGAATGACAGAGTCGAGGATGTACTGCACCCCGGCATGTTGGATGTCATTGCGGACTGCAAGGCAAGAAGCAAAGGAAGACTTGGGTCTTCGCTTGTCACACTCACGAGTCAATAGTATTTCCCATTTCTGAAAGAAAGCCTGGCTTCATCACATCTGCACCCACCATCAGCCACAAAAGCCACCTTCCTGGCCTTGGGCCGCTCTGCATTCCCAATCAACACATAACTGGCCTTGCTGGCTGGCAATGAGAATTTCATGAAAATCTCTCCGCAAGCACATGACCTTCAGAAAAGCTGCTAAAAATTTCCACCCTGGACTCTGCTACACCGTTATCTGTGACTAAAGGATAAAATGTGTTGGAACCTTCCTGTTTCTATGACTCTATTCTGGCCTTGGGAGGCAGAGTGCAAAGCCCACCTATGCAAGCAGGGCCTCCAAACAGGATGTTGCAATCTGGAGCAGCCATCAGAAGTCTGAGCTGGCAAGGCCTATGTGATTTTGTTGAAAGATAATGGGTGTCTTGGAAAGGGAAACTGGAAAATACTGCTGGGCAGCAGACTGCAGGAGAGAGCTGGTGGCCTAGGCCAGGGGTAGGCAACCTTGGCTCTTTTATGACTCGTGGACTTCAACTCCCAGAATTCCTGAGCCAGCCATGGCTGGCTCAGGAATTCTGGGAGTTGAAGTCCACGAGTCATAAAAGAGCCAAGGTTGCCTACCCCTGGCCTAGGCTAATGTTATGGCTAAAAGCACAAGCCCCTCCTAGTTAAAAATGCCCCTCAGTCATGAGTTCTCCACATGGAATTGCTCCTGATTTTAGAACCTTGGTCTGCCGGTGTCTATTGAGAGAAGACTACTGGAGTGACATAGCAAGCTGCTGTAAAAAAATTAAAAAGGAAATATTATACAAAACACCGAGGGTTGTTATTATCTATTAGGAATTACTTCTATTTTATTTTTAAGGCAGCTGATAAAACATGTCAAGCTTAGTTTCTTTCACATCAGCATTTTGTTCAAACACAGAACTAAGATCTCTCTTTTCCACTACAATACTCACGTCTACTACATTTTACAGCAGCTCGCGAATGAGAGCTGAAGACCCAAATATCTGAAGATCTTCAGCTCCTTCAGGATCATTTGCTTACTTCAAACAGGGAAGGCAATCTGAAGATGCACTTTGCTGGAGTCAAGACTGGTCAGCAGTTACAACTTCAGCTTCAGCACCAAACTCCAAGCACAGCAAGAAAGGCTGGCGCTAATTTAAAGCACAAAGCACAAAACTTTCTTTTCCTTTCCAGGGCTTTGCTAGACTTTGCTATGAGACCTCCTGCTAGGAGGCAGCTTCAACTTACCTCCAAAGAAATACTGGTCCACTGTCTTCAGCCAGCCCACATCATCATGCGTGTGAGGGATAAGGTGAACATTGAGCATGTCAGGTTTTGTCACTGGGCAGGACTAATAAGAGGAAGGGAAAAACAAGAACACCTGAGCTAAAAGGAGGATGTGAAACCCCTCAAGACCATGCCCCCCTCCCCCTCCAAGGCAGCAGTCATAAAAACTAAAAAGTAATGAGGCATTTGAGTTGAGCTGAATTCCTGGTCACCGCATCCAGAAGGTTCCTATGGCCAAAGGTCAGAAGTAATTGGCCACTGCCCTATTCTATGATGCTCCTTGGACTTCCCAACCCAGGCAACAGTTCTGGTATTCCCAAGGGGAGACCCATCCAAGAATTAGCCAGGACCAACCCTGCTTTGGAGACCAGACAAGGCTTGCTGGCGCCTACCCCGGCTGAGGTTCAGTCTGTATAGAGGTAGAATAAGATCATCACTTGTTGGAAGAACCTCCACCAAATTTAGGGCTGGGGGAAATATTACTGTTTGCTAACTATGTTTGACCTCCAGCCAATAGGAGGCTAAACATTCAAATAAAATTTATATTGTATTTGAATATTTAGCCTCCTATTGGTTCACAATTGCTGGGACCAGGGCTCTTTACTGGGTGTTTCTAAGCCTAATTCAAAATATTTCCGGACACTGGAAAACAAGAATATCTTCCTATCACCACCAACTGTTTCGGCACAAGACTTCCATGATAATTAACAATACAATAGTTACAAAGTGGATAGAGCAGGGGTGTCAAACTCAATTTCATTGAGGGCCACATCAGCATTGCGATTGCCCTCAGGGGTCTGGGTGGGTGTGGCCTACTGGGTGGGCGTGGATAGAGTGGGCATGGCCATCTCTACATCATTCGCGTCAAGGGTGCCTGTGGGGGCCTGGGCAGGAGAGGGACAGATCTGAGGGTCTCTGGCAGAAAGGGGTGGGACCAGGGCAGAGCCCATCAAGCCGGATATGTGAAGTAGGCGAGGGCCATTTGCTGGCCACTTCCAGGCGATGGTGCATTTCTTCATTCCTCACAAAGGGTGACACCTCCCCAGCATGCACCCAGGGGGTGGGGCCGATGCGGCAGGGGCTGGTTCCTCGCTGTTTCCAGACAGCCTTGTGGAGCTGAGACTGAATGCGTTTCAGCACAGATGGCCACCACAAAATTGTACACTGGCTCCCAGCCGGCCTGGGCCAGGGCCAAGGCAGCGGGGGCCGTTCCCTCACTGTTTCCAGGATGGCTTCGCAGGCCACATGAAACCACTTCGTGGGCCGCATCCGGCCCCCGGGTCTTGTGTTTGACATGTCTGGGATAGAGGATGCAGAAGGAAACAAATGATTAAATTTTCAAAATCATTAAAAAAAACTCAGCAAGACTGAAACAGTGTATATTCAAATGTTTTTAAAGTACTGTACAAGACTCTTGAGTGTACTTGAATGCAAAGCTTGAAAAGCAGGAGAGATTTTAAGAGAACCTGGACTTGACACATCCAAATCCCAACTTCCACCTGCCTCAGACAGAAATGGGGGCTTTGGGGAGAGGTTGCTTGGGGATAATGGGTACATATGGGAACCAAGGATAAGAATATTATAAAGAGCAAGACTAATACTTCATAGCCATTAACTCCCTCCCCCTTCACTAGTTCTAAGATGTAGGATAGTAAAAGCAGCAGCTACTTTCTAAGTGGTTTCAGAAACAAGGTCCAAGTTGTCATTCTGCTATCCTAATTTCAAACTTCTCTAGCTGGGTTTGCCAAACAGACTATGTTAACCTAAAACAGGGTTGGATGCTTTGTGATTCACTGTATTACAATAACCCAGCCAAGTCCCCCTCTAAACTGTGGAATTTGTTTCTGATTTATGTGCTTATTGTCCTAAATGAAAAATAAATCATTATCTTGGGTGTTGTATTATGGCAAAATATGGAGAGAGAATGGGAGATGAGATAAAGGAGAATTGGTTGAGAAAGAACTTGGGATTTAGACAGAAAGAGTGGGGGAGAAAGGAGGTTCAAGTGGACAGAGAGAAGACAGATGAGAAAGGAGAGGTGAGCAGGCCAACATTGTTTCCTGGAGAGACTAGAGCAGTGGTTCTCAACCTTTTTAATGCCGCGACCCCAACCGGTCGTAAGTCGAGGACTAAACCGGTCGTAAGTCAAGGACTAAACCGGTCGTAAGTCGAGGACTACCCAACCGGTCGAGGACTTTCCCTGCCTGGGAGCACCACGCATGCGTGGTTCCGCCCCCTGCGCCAGCCGAGGCGTAGCTGGCAAGCGGCANTGGACAAAAAAAATGGCGGACAGCCTTGCTTGGCGACCCCCATGAAATGGTCGATCGACCCCAAATGGGGTCCCGACCCACAGGTTGAGAACCACTGGACTAGAGGTTGAGAATTATGGGCCCTATGCAGGAGGACCATTGTAAGCAATCATTTTACATTCAGCTGTCTACAGTGGAGATTTACTGAAGAGTAGTGTAGATGAGATGGCAACAGCATAGTGACAGAACAGATATTGTGATGGCTAAAAGGAGAAAGACGAGACAGGCAATTGGAAGAAAAAAAAAGAGAAATAAGCAGGCATTGAAAGCAAAAAGGAATGAAGAGAAAGAAAGAAGCGGGGTTGAAGGAATGGAAATTTACGAACTGTACCAACCATAGAAGATACCAGGTGGAGTCTGGCAAAGGAAGACAGCTCTCATTCCTGCTTTGTCCTGGATGTATTTGTAAAACTCTAGAGGAACGGAAAACTGCCTGGAAGAGAGGCGAGTGCATGGAAGAGAGGCGAGAAAGAAGCAAGACAGGTCCTGCACTCTGAGGGAAAGGCAGAGAGTAGAGGAGGTTGTAGAAAGGAGGTTTGAACCTGAGTAACAACCAGGTGCTGGAAATTAAGAGGGGACAAAGACACAAGAAGGTAGAGGTGGGTGCATTGGAAAGATGATATGTTGACTGGAAGAGATCAATCAAAAATTGTGCAAGTTGTGGTATGAAATTGGAAGAGTGAAATGTGACTAACCATGAGGAATGTTGCTGACCCATCTAGGCTGACTGGGAGAGAAGAACTAAGGGGAACTTCCATGGAGGAAAGGGTAATTATAGTGATAGACAGGAGGAAGTGTCATGGGAGAGAAGGGATGGGACATTCCAAGGGAAAGGAGATTGAAATGTGTTACCAATTTCTACTTAAGGCCCTCTAATCTTCACTCATGCACAGGGCATCTGGTGGCATCAGGCTTAAACTGATGCTTCTGAACATCAAGTTCATCTGCTACAAATCCAGTATTTTCTACAATTTGACCCAGGACATATAGCCTATCTGGATGAGGAAGAGAAAAAAAGCTGCCCCAAATGTTCCTTGGGAAGCTTATCTAATACAATGGATAGCTCCAAACAGAAACAGTACAGAGCCCCCCCCCAAAAAAAAATAAGACAACCATTTCTTGGTATTTCATCAGTGCTTCTATCTATCTATTATGGTAGTTCAATTGCTTCAGCTGAAGACCATAAGGTGCTATTAGATTTCCAGAGGCAATAAGGCAGGGGTGTCAAACTCGCAACGTCACGTGACATGTCACTACGTATCGCAACTTTTTTTTCCATTGCCGGCAATGGGGTGGGTGCAATTTCCCTTGTGTCAAACTGCAG